ATGAGTCACCGACGGACTCCCACCAATCCCTAGCTCGATCTCTCAGATATCCTGCTGCATATCTCACCTTCGACCCCTCAGGGCAGAAGCTAGTTAACTGTGCAGACTCAATGTCTGCAATCCATCGTCTGGCAGCTATGGGGTCCTTCGCCCCATGAAAGTCCGGTGCACCACTGCCCCGAAAGTCCTTGAAGGACAGTGTGCGGGGTCCTGACTGGCCAGATGCCATGTCGCTCCTGAATGCCCTAAGGCGATCCTCCATCATCTCCAATATCCCTTCCTTGATCAACCCGAAGATAATGGGGGTCGACTCTTGGATGCCTCTGGTGATCTCTGACGCGATGAATTCGCGTAGCCCCTCATCTACTGGCTCGGAACCTGATCCCGAACCCGATCCCTCTCCTGTACTACCAACTGCTGGCCTCGGGCGTAGTACCACCATTCTGAAATACAAAGAAATAACAATTGTTAGCGATACTGATACCCCTGGAGGGATCACACCCACTACAAGTTCCTTGGTCTTATCTTAGCCTTCCTCGGTTCGGGTACGGATCCTCTGCTTTCAGTAGTACGGGCCAATACTACCTTCCACATCTATTCGTACCTTCTCCAAAGACCGCCTCGACTCAACCAGGTCCCTTCCACTACCGCTGATCACTGCTACTCTTATCCTACGCTTACCCTAGGAAACCTCTGACTCCACCCAACCCAGTCCTCAACTGCTGAAGGCCTCTTGGTGATGCCAATTAGATATTACCTGAATACAATCACATGTGACGAGGCTTGAATAATCCTTCGAGTAAGGGACTCATCCCTACAACGGTTAGGACTCAAACAAGAGCTACGCAATAGGGTCAAATCCAACACTCTGAGATTATTCAACCCTGATCACATGTGACTTTAACGTATTCACCTAACAGCTAACTCCCATCACTTCAAAGCCCACATAGCACAAAGCAAGCAACATTTGTACATAAAGAAAACAATCTCAAGCAACTCTATCCTCGTAGAGAAAACTGAACTAGCATACAATGCTAAACTCGTACTATCAGGAATAACCTAAACATGCTACCCTATTGCTGTCTACTCAATTCTAGGATGCAACTCTTTCATATACTGAAGCACATAAAGCAGGCACATAAGGCATCACTCCTAGATCCTTAGTCCTATTCTAGCATGCTGTTCTACAGAAACTGATAAACATAAACAAATTTGTATGGGTACATTGGGGAGTACTTACTTGAGCTCGGCCGGTCACGCACATCACACACATTGTTCTTTCTTAAAACCCTTTACTTAGCCTTTTAGAAAACGCTTTTTCTTTCCAAAATCTTTTAATCCCTCGATTTGAGTTCAAACACCCCGAAGGTGTGTTCGAATCCCTCAAACCAGGGCTCTGATACCAACTTGTAACACCCCAAAAATACGAGCCAAAAATTTCATTTTTGAAAACATAAGTTTAGCAAAACATTCGAATTAAAACGTTTACTGATCATAATATTTTAGTAAGATATCGCATGTCTGGAAAACATTTCATAAAACATAACAATGCCAGAGTACAAATCCCCAGGAAGATCTCATGATGCAGAATACGAAGCATGTGTGTGATGGGCCGCTACCGCGCCAGCTCCTTCCCCTTCGAAGAAGAGGTACCTGAAACCAAAACTGAAAACTATAAGCATGAAGCTTAGTGAGTTCCCCCAACCTACCACATATCATACAATCACATAACATGCATATATCGTCAGGCATATCTGGGTGCCCGACCTACCCCTTCGGTCCTCTCGACCGGATACTGTCTAGTATAACTGGGAGCTTGCCTCCACTTCGGTCCTCTCGACCGGATACTAACTAGCATATTCGGGTGCTGGTCTCCCCCTTCGGTCCTCTCGACCAGATATTGGGGACTATCTCACCCCCTACTATTACCACATAACACATATATCTCGTAATCTATCTAGCATGGTTGGGCATGACCGCCCCTTCGGCCCTATCAACTGGTAATCTAGGGACTATCTCCCCCTACTGTCACTAGCACATAGCAACATATCATACTAGCACATAAACATATCACAGGTAGTAGCAACCTTAGATGAATATCACAGAGACAATCATCCATCATACAACTCCTACTGGTGGGATGGCATTGTGGTCGTAGACCCACCGCTACTGGAAGGTAACTCACCTCGTAGTAGCTGCTGATCTATGTGGGAATAGTCTGTCTGTTGTTTCTGCTGCTCCGGAAATCCTCCAGCTGTAATTCCCACAAAACACTTAGTCAAATACTGCTAGCCGCCCTCAGGGTAAATTGCCCATTTACCCTTAACAAGTCATGAGTCAAGTCACAGTCAACTGCCAGTTGACCAGACTCGCCGAGTTGGCTTGCCGACTCGCCGAGTCCCTTTCTCTATACCCAAGTCCAATAGTCCTTCATCCTACTCGCCGAGTTCGCCTTCATCCGAAGAACACTCTAAGCTATGACTCACCGAGTTGTATGAACAACTCGTCGAGTTGTTCTTGAGACGAGAAGATTGCCATGAACTCGCCGAGTCATGGCGCTGACTAGTCGAGTGACCTCATGAGTGAGTCTGGCTTCCAACCCACTGAGTCATACCCTATGACTCACTACTCCAACTCGCAAACACAAAAGGGAACAACCCTAGGACTCGCGACCCGACTCGCCGAGTCAGATGAACGACTCGCCGAGTCAGCCACATGGAAAAACCATACACGCGATTTTGCTTGGATCCAACTCATGCCATTCATAGATCTGGGTTCCTAGGGCCTGGTTTACACGTAAATTTTCCAACTTTACGTGTAGAAATGCATAGAATGGGGGTTAGGGGCGAAATAATGGCTAAGAAGGTAGATCTAGGACATTCCAGCAATTTACTCCCATAAAGGTTATAGATCTGAGCTTCTGGAGCTCAAAATGACTAGTTCTAGCGAATACTCAACCTATTACGACTTCTACTTCATGCACAAGCTTGGAAAAGGTTCAAGAAGAGCTCAAAAGGTGCTCTAATGGGGTTTCAAGCATGCAAACAGATTAGAGTAGAGATATACCTCAGAGAACTCTGAAATAGCACCAAGATATCTGGTCTCCTTCTCCTCTTCTTGCTCCACTCTCCTTTTTCTCCTAAAAACTTCAAGGAATCACTCTAATTAGTTCAATCTCACAAGAAACGAGTTAGGGTTTGATGTAGGGCGCTCTAAGGGTGAAAGGGCGTGAGCTTGGGTCGCACAAGCTAGCTTAAATAGGGGCAAACCCTTGGAATTAGGGTTTCATCAAACAGCGGTGACTCGCCGAGTCCAGGATATGGACTCGCCGAGTCGCCAACTTAAGCGTGCCCACCGGACCGCGTCACTACTCGGCGAGTCAGACCTACAACTCGCCGAGTCCAAGGCTAAAATGACATTTACTTAGTTAAATTTTTACGTACCAGGAACCAGGTGCTACATATTAATACATTTTGTATGTGCTTATTATATGTGTTCCTGATATCTATGCCAGATGAACGATCTATACATGTTTTACTTGATTTAAACCGTATATGTATTTTTATACCTATAAATATATTGGGTAAAGATGCATATATGAAAGATGATATGGATGATGAGAGATGAAAGACGATATAGATGAGAGGTGAAAGATGATGAGAAGCCTTGACTTTAAAGTTGATCCAGTCATCTAGCAGGGTATAGATGGTAACCACAGACTATTATAGACAGTCCAGTGGAACGATAGCTTGTAACTTGTATGTGTTTTTGAACTATATGTACACCATATGTAATCTAAAAACTCTGGCAGATATGGACTTGGTGCTTTATAAATAAACATTGGTAGCTGTGCCTAATAGATAACATTGACAGTTGTGCCTAATAGATAACATTGGCCGTTGTGCCTAATAGATAACATCGATAACTATGAACTTAGTGTCTGTTAGATAAACCCTAGTGGCGATGGACTTCGTGTTTATTCCTTAGGACAATCCTTAGGAATGAATAAATGAAAAATATATGATTCTTAGGGAAGATCCTTAAGAATAAAAAAGATAATTGGAATGTGAAATTGGGTTAATTGTTTGATAATTAAACATAATAATTATATTATTGTGGGTTAGAAACCCTATGTACTCCCCAGGTTTTTGTATTGACGATGATATTCCAATGTTTTAATATAAATAAAATATATTTTTTCGTAAATGCTTTCATAATAAGATCATCATGTTTTTGGGAACAATTTTCACAATATTATTCTTCAAAATGATACATTGATTTTTAAATAAATATAAAAAAATCAGTCTTTTCTAACCGTGACAATGAGGATGTCACACATTGGCATTCTCACATACAGAGATACTATGTGAAAACACTTTAAAACAAGATTATTTAGACTTAACTTTAGCTTGGACCTTCTCTTTCCGCCCCCACAATTATTAATGGAACCAAACCAATACAAGATTGTTTAAACTTAACTTTCTTTGTGGTAAAGAGCATTAACAAATGCCATTTCGTAATGGAGGCAAACCAATACAAAATAGTCATCTGCACATGGTGCAGATAGACAAAAGACAAAACAGTTAGAATGCCATTTTGCAATGATCTTTTTTGTTATTTGCTATATAAACAGAATATATTATAATAAACAATGTTAAACAAATATAATATACAAAAATAACACGATATTAAATCCAAAGTTGCTAAACTTTCAAATCATTGTCTTTTATTCATAAAAATTTCACAATAAAGACAAGTTATTTTTGCTAAGGTTATTGTCACCGTAGCCCAACAAACTTTAGTACATTGGTTTAAATGGTCTATCGGGACTATTTTTTGCATTTGAGGGGCACGTACTTGTGTTTTTATGTTTTAAAAAGTCGTTTTTTAAAATTTGAAAGGGTCATCCGGTGACACTCATCCTACTTTATACTTTTCCAATTCCATGTCATTGCCGTCTAGATTAAAGAAGTCCAGGTCATTGCCACGTGGGTGTGATAATGCTTACCCAGGTTTTTCATTTAGGCCATCCTACATTGGAGCAAATTGGTACTCTCATTCCCTTCTCCACATCTCGTGCTCCAGATTTCACTATCCCCCTCCACCTAATTTGCGACTATGGTGACTGTGACTGGGTTAATTGTCAATGTTATTGTCCTATGGAGAGAACCGGACCCAACAGTGGTAGCGAAAGTGTGGCGGTTTTTAGTGGAGGTTCGTGAATTTCAAGCCAAGTCAAGGGGTATCGACTATAAAAAGAAGAGGAAACGTCCTGTTGAGGTTCGCTTTTGTCGTTTGTGCTTGCGATGATACGAATCCGAGCTTGAGTTATAGTGCTTACGATGATACGAGGTTAGTAAACTGTTCTGATAGGGAAGTTTTGATGGCTATCAAGAAATTCAATCTAAAACACTTCGAATCAATAATGTTCCTCGACTATCAAACACCAGTCAACACCTCAACTCCAAACGAATGTGATGTCACATGGAGATTTCAGAACCAGAAAGAGAAATCATGGAGAAGGTATAGAGATCTGAAAAGGTTCAAGATCGAATTCACCGATTCCTACACTTACAAAGTATCAGAACAAAAGGATGTCATTCCAGTGTTGATGCACATCGTCCCCGACAAACCCCATTGGGAAAAGGTGAATGTTTGTTGGGGGATTGACCGGTGTCAATGAAGCTTGAGCAACTGCCGTCGACGAATTAAACCCATAACCGGAGCCGTCTTCAACCTACTCCCCGGAAGTTGCAGTATCGACAGCGTCACATTATTCACCTTGTTCTGCCACATCGGAGATGTCGGATAGGACATCGGAGATGTCAGATAGGACATCGGTGGAGTTGAACCGAGCGCCAATAAGCTCATCGAACCCATTTCCATTGAATTAACAGCAGCAAATCATGATTTTGGAGAAAAAATAGTTGATCTAGTAGAAGCGTACACTGGTCGGAGCTCTTCCACCTTGTAAGTAGGAGACTAGGCAGGAATACCTGCTAAAATCGGTAAAAGAACATTTTCAAACCGTAAAACACAAATACATGCACCTCAAATACATAAAAAATAGTGACGAAGAACCATTTAAATTAATATACGAAAATTTGTTGGGCTACATTAATAATAATTTTTGCATATTCAATCAATTCAATCACTTAACTATTTTCAAAAACAAAAGAACTACTTTCATCAAGTGAAAGAAAAAACTATTTTCCACTTTAACTAAAGCATTATACATTTTTCCCACTTACATATAGCTAGTTTTGTAAAACTCGTCGAGATGTCCGATTAATCATCCGAATACTCGCTACTCGGCCGCTTACCGATGCGAGTTGCAGAATCCCGAATACTTCATGATCGGCCCCTTTACTGAATTGAGCAGTGTTGTAAAACCCGGTCAACGCGATGATTAATATGTATAATATATACTTAATGATTTATTATTTAGCGCGCACATATATATATATATATATATATATATATATATATATATATATATATATATATATATAACAATTAATCATGAAGAGTATTTTTGGGTTAGCTTTTTCATGTCAAAAGTAATTTTAAAAAAAAGTGTTTATTAGCTTATGATTTTTAGGAAAAACTGGTTTTAAAAATCGTTTGGATGCGAAAAACTGTTTTTTAAAGAGTAAAATGATTAAAATACTAAAAAGCTAGGATTCGGGAATATCACTCTAAAACCCTATGTATTTTGTATGAAAACCTAAATAAACCATTATATTTATTTTATGATCAATTTAACCCCTATTAATATCCTAACCGTCTAACCTATCTCAATTATCCGGTATAACCTTAACACGTTATTATCACTATGCGGGAAAACCCTTCGTCATTTGTAGTCTGCCATCGGAATTACTGAAATGAAGAGCGGAAGCAGGGTCGAGCAAAAAGCTTCGTGGATCAGGGGTAGCTTCACGAAAAAAAGGTAATCCATCCATCTTTGTTGTTTATTCTGTTCGTCAAAGGCATGAGGTGTCGTTTTTCTTAATCTGTTGTTCGCATTTATTGTTTAAGTAAGCCGTAAACAGGGACTATGTTTTCAAGTTCCCATCAATTTGTTGAAGTGCATATGGACGGTTTGAATGGCACAGATGATGAGTATGAAGAGGAAGAATATGTTCATTCTTCAATGGACAAGACAACATGGGATCCTTTTTTGAATGATTTGGTACAAGGAGGAATAAAATTGCCTGAACTGTCATCTGATTGATGGTGGATTGAGCTATTCAGATGAAGAATTTGACAAAGGAGAGCACATAAATCATGAAATTGGGGACCAATTTTTGTTTGTTTCTGTTTAGTTTTGTTTGTTTTGGACAAAAACATGTAATTATACTCAATTTTATGGTAATGGTGATTGTTTGGTGTGCTAATAACCGAAAGTATCAGCAAGGGCAAAATCGTCAACATCAAAAAATTAATTTTTTTGCGGCACACTTGTAATGGCAGTTGCGTTTTTACTGATTTCGGGTAAAGAATAGCAATTCAAGAATGCAAAAAAAATAAAAATAAATAAATAAATAAAAATAAAAAATAAAAAATAAAAATATAAGCAGAAAACTTAGGAAAAGGGTAAAACCACAACAAAAATGTAAGCTTAAATGGCTGATGCTGTTTGTGTTCTATGTTCAATTCCATTCCAATCTTCATTCTGTCCCACATTAATAGATCCACTGGGTTGCTTATCAGAAAGTGATTGTTGGTTTTTATTCAAACAATATGCATTTGGTGTTGAGACAAACATTATGCATTTGGTTGGATTCTTTTATGTCCCTGATTCGAAAATGACTTTTGCATCATATTACTTTCCTGTGCAGCTGTTGTTCGTGTCTAGGCTCCATTTACAGTTTCTTTTTTTTGTTCCTGATTCCAATCTTCATTCTATTCCTGTTCCTGATTCCATTATTCATTCCAGCTCTGTTTTATTATTGATTCCATTCTTGTTTCTCTTTTCTGTCCCTAATTCCAATCTTCATGTCATTCATGTTCTATTTTTGATTCCAGTCTTCATTTCATTCCATTCCATACTAATCAAATGAACCATAGCAAAAATCTTTAAAATGTCCAAGTACTCACAAAACCACAACTATAACACAAGGGTAAAACTGTCCAACTATAACAAAGGAACCTGATACAATCCAAGTACTCACAAAACCGCATTATCTTCAAAAAAACAAATGTGTATAATAACCAAAATCACGATTCCATTACAAATGTGCTTAATAAACCAACATCACAATTCCATTACAAAAGTTAGAAAAAGGGTAAAAACCAACATCACCCTATTACATAATTAACCATCTTAGATTAACCTAACTAGCCCAATTACATAAAAATTAACAAAATAAAGACGCTAACCACAACAATACCAAACATCATCAACCTCCATAGGAATATATCAGGCTCCTATTTGTCATTGACCTTAAGCTTCATTAACTCCTTCAGCAGAATCCATATTCTTCTTTGAAAGGTTCATATTTTCATTGAACAATTCCATATTCTCCCTATGCAACTCATTAATTTTACTCTCATACAAGTGCATACCCGAATCCTCATTTACCCATACAAAAAATTTACAATCTTTTGAAGGATCCTACAAAAAAGTGTAGTATCTGAGTAAGCATTACAAAATCAAGTCAATCAATGCTATAATTTCATATACCAGAGAATTTGGGCACGGAATCAAATGTCGGCCAGGGTTCTTCCGGGTAGTCGAAGTCCATATATTTGGTTCTTCACAACAAGTTTTTATAGTTTGAAGTTAAGGAAGAAGAACAAACCACTTGATCGATCACCCATTCTGCAACAGTTGGGAGGAAAGAAGAAGTCGATGAGAAACGATTTAGTGATTTTGAAGCCGGCAACATCTTTTAAACTTAACCTTTATTGTGTAATTGATACCACGTGAGTATTGTTACCGGTTGCCAAATTGCAACTGGTTAAAAAGCATTAAATGGGAAAAAAGTATATTAATAAAGGTTAAATTGATCATAAAATAAATATAATGGTTTATTTAAGCATTGAGACAAAATACATAGAGTTTTAGAGTGGTTTTCCCTTTCAGCTTTTTGATAAATAAACAAATACTTTTTTAGCTTATTAACTTTTCAAAAAGCTAATAAGCTTTTTTTAGAAACTATTCCAAACACCCACAAAGAAAGCTAATAAGCTTTTTTTAGAAACTATTCCAAACACCCACAAAGTAAGACCATTATGCATTTTTCCATTTTTATATATCCACATCAATCAAATTTTGTTATATATTTCAATCAACTTTTGCTTTTAAGTTATGATTTTGACATATAATTTCCTTAAAAATATTTTTACATGATCTACCGAATCCGAGTTCTTACCAAATACTCCAAATCCTCCCCGAATACTCGCTATTAGATAGTCGGCCAAATAAGTACTAAGTTACGAGTTTTACAACCTTGCATATAGCCATCAAGGTAAAATACAACACACACACAACAAAAAACAAACAAACAAAATATACTTCCATTTCACCAATATAACTATCAAATAATCTACTTTGGATCACAAAACAAATCAACAGCTAAAATGAAACAACAAAAATATTGCTAAAATCCAATGACTACAAAACAAATCAACAGCTGAATGAAACAACATAAAGATTGCTAAAATCCAATGACTGGAGTCATAACCCTAATTTGATCCAAAACAACATATTGAAGATGCTTCACTCTCAAAATTGGTAAAAGAAGATAGTAACAAACATCTAAAAGACAAGGTTGCTCAGAAGCAAATATCATAAACAATACAAAATATTAAAATGTTCAACCAAGAAAATCATCAAAAAAATAAAAGTGGTGGAATTTCAACGCTTGCCACCACCACCTCCTAACTTAGGTCCTTTACCTTTAGGGGCATTGCCACCCTTGCTTTGAGTCTTTTGTTTTGACACCACCTCTGCCTTCTTTGCTTTCTTCTCATCTTTTGTCTTCTTAATCCTTTCCTTTATCTCACTAAAATTTCATGAATGTAAAAAAAAAATATAAATACAAGATTTTTGGTTCAAATGGTAATATCACAAAAAAGAAAGAAAACCTAAAAAAGGAATGAACATATACCGAAGAGCTGCCTCCCTAGCAGCATCACGAACTTCAGGCTTCTCACTTCTTTTCTTCTGAATAACTTCCAAAGTGGCCCCCACAATGGCTCTTGAATATGGCTTCTTGGTTGCACGTCTTCTCTTCTTCACTGCTTCCTGAGCAATGTCCTGAAATAATTGAATGCCAAGAATAAAAATTGGTCAGATTATTATCAAAATGAGTGGAAAAACAAATCAATAGATTTTGAATCTGACCTTCTTGTGTTGCTTTCTGTACATGGCTGTCCATGTGAGCTTGGAAGGCTTCAACTTGTTATGGAAGTACCTCTTGCATTTGGAATTGGCAAACAGGAAAACCTAGATTGAAGAACGAAAGTCTTTTAATTCAAGAAAAGTATAACAATCTTGACATGTATAATCAGATCATGTACCTGAGAATCTGATCTAATGAATCTGATACCCCTTCCAGGATATATCTTCTGGCCACTGAAACGGCATAATTCAGTCCTACAAACGATTCATCGTAGTTGTCAGTTAACTTGAGGGGTTTCCATGGTATGTAACGATTTAGAAAAAGGAAATCAAAAGTACATACGATTAGATTTCATAACAAACCGTATAGCTCATGTTGAAGAGATATACAAGCAGAGCTAAACATCTACATTTTTTGGTCGTGATAATAGATGTAACGCAACAGAAACGTTTGGCCACATATGAATATAGAATCAATGTCGATAAAACCTATAACCAATCCTAGATCTTAAGAGCATATATCGTTGTATATCTCTAGTTGATCGCGTTTCTAACCCTAATAATACAGCTTCGTCCTCTTTTACGGTTTGGAAACCCTAATATGATTGCAACAGATTGGATTGAAATAATTGGGGGGAAATGACGATTAAGCAAGTATCTAAAAAATTAGCCATTTTATACCACTTCCTAATCAACAAAACCAACAATAAGCTTGGAGATTCAAACAAAAAAGCGTGAAATTTTCGACGAATTGTAAAGAAATTGGGAACATACTTCAAAACCATGGCGGCCGCTGCTACAGTTCTACACTTGCTGAAGAAAAAAAAAAACCCTAGGAACACCAATTGTATCCGTCCTTATATAGCACCATCACTTTTAACGAAATATGCGCGTTTTAATCATATCACACAGCTCCCTTGAGGAAATAGAGATGGCACTTGTAGCCCCTCTAGTTTTGTTTTTGTTTTAAATTACCCAAACTAAGAAATTATGTGTATCGTTTAAAATAAAGCTATATAGTTACCCAAACTCTAGTTTTGTTTTTATCTTAAATTACCCAAACTATATTGCGTAAAATACAACTATATACTTAGTCTTTTTGGTGTATACATAAATATTAACTATAAAATAATAACATTAAGTTTGTAATTATTTGAATCATATTATAAAATATATATCTATTAAAAACATATCATTCAACGGTATTTACTTGTGGTTTGCATTTAAATAGAATTAAACATGGTTCTCGATTTAATATTACAATTTAAAGTTATGATTGATTAATTTAGAAATTACTAATTTGTTGACTTTTTTAATTTCAATCATGATGGTTAATTAACATATAAACTATTGTTTGTAAGTTAACACAAAGTATATTTTTTGTTAGGAAAAATGACATTGTAGCACAACAAAGTTTTAGTTGTCCGTGGATTGGTCAATGAAGTTAATTTTTTTACGTAATTAGTTCTTAAAGTTTCAAACTTCATGTCAATTACACCATTTTTTGCAAGATATGAAGCAAACACTCGGTAATACAGGTGACATGGCACGTTGTGTCCCACCTTTATTACCACATAACTCACACACACTACAATATATTGAATCCTATTTTTCGTTGTACTCTTTGCAGATTTTCATATAACTCTCTGCTTCTTCTTCCCTAACCCAACAACGCCTTTTGGCGAAGCAGAGGAAGAAGGTGGAGGTGGCGGTGGCGGCGAAGCATTTAGAAATAGTGAAGAAAGGTGAGAGTGTGGTATGAGTTTAGTGACATCTAGTTGATACAATAGGATATGGAAAAATGGGTTTTCCCAGTTTATCACCATGAAACCTAACTATCTTTTCCTTTTTGTTCATTTTTTCATTCCGATATGGTTTTCTATGTCGACCAAAAGATTATGACCATTAGTTGAATCCAAAAATGTTAATGGGTTTGTGAATCCATGCGATGGCACACATGCAATCGCATCACAGACCACCTTATACCATCGTTTTTTTCACAACACTAATTGACACCCACCAACACCACCATATCACACAACAACACCACCATACCCCTGTATAGCTTACCACTCCATAACAGTCTTCATCCTCCATTGAATAGACCACTATCTTCATCTATATTCCTTGTTATGTTCATCAGCAACACTTGATTCCAACACTACATTGGATATCTATCATCACCATTTGCGCCCTTCATCATCGCATCAACCAACGCAACACATGTAATAAAAACACAGCAAGAAGGATAAGAGGGAAAATCCACACACATTTGCAAAAAAACAAATTACATAGATATCAAGCCCTGTTCGCCATAGATCGCACCATTAAAGACCATATATTCATATGTTCGTTTGAGTGAAGCCAGAAAACATGAAGAATGAGGAGTATGAGTCGAAGATTAAGTGGAAGGAGTAAAAGATTAAGATAAAGATCCGGGTGATTTTGAGTCTTGCAATGAATATGGTTTCCAAGGTGTTTCGTTTGTTGCCATGTACAACGATCGAACTGAAGATACATATATGCGGTGAGTGGGTGAATTTCTAAAGTTGTTGCCAACGAGATTTAGTGGCGATAGCGGAGAAGCCATAGATGAGGTGTGGATACGACGTAGACAGCTATATGGCAGAGGAGATGGAAGCTAACCGATTCCAACCTAGAAGGAATTCGATTGTGGGATTGGGAAGAATAAGTAGTCTTCACTCTTTTGTGGCTTTTGTCACACCCCCGAACCAGACGGCGGAAACGTCTGGGGGCTTGCACGTGACTTCATCCCTGTAGTATCATCACATAGTATATAATTGAAACATAACATCATCATCATCACACATGTAATATAACAACGTACATTGTTTACAACGAGTATTGTGTTTAAATATTACATGCCAAAAATATAAAAGTACGATGGAACAATATATAACAAGACATCTATTAAATTGTTCAGCTCAACCTGCTTCAACGGTTTCCTGAGAATACAAGTTAATTTGAAAATGTCAACATAAAAATGTTGGTGAGTTCATAAGCACGTTTTGAGAAAATGATTTGTATAACTTTGTAATCACAAGAAAATCCTGTATTTTCTTAAAATGGTTTAGTGTGTTTGTGTTCAATCTGGTATTAATGCATGTGTGTTTTTGTTTATTAGAATCCCAAAAGTAGGTGAAGAGAATGTAAAGAGAATGTCCCCAGACAACCCTATGTTGTCTGTAAAAGAGAATGTTGCCATACCACCCCCCAAGGTTGAGTATCGGTGTGGGTATGTTCCTGAGTAATCTAAATACAAAAGAGAATGGTCTCCCGTAAATTTCATAATGTTAATTCATCTAAGTAAGTTGTTATAACCATGTTAATTAATGACAAATTTGTCTGTCTTGGCTTTGCTGAACGCCAATGGAAAATAGAATAAGGATTTTGGTCACCCTACACTAATGTAGTCTAACTGTAACGAACAACTTAGGTGCAGGGTGTCATCCCCATATAGACCTATACACAAACCCCTACTCTCCCTCCAAGAGACTCTAGTTATAACTACAGGCTACGATCGTACACACATTAAGTGTCAACTGACACGTCTCACTAGATCCTTAATCGAATTTTACGCGAAGAGAAACATATAAAACTCATTCTGGGCCCAATGAAACATGTAAGCGAACCACAGAGGCTCATTAAACACGTAAGTCATTTTTAGGTCTAAAAGGGATGAGATTATATAACATGGGCCCAAAATACATGTAAAAGTACAACTAAGGCTCATTTCACACGTAAGGTATCTATAGGCCCAAATAGTATCCAAGATCCATTGCGTATGTTAATGGGTCAATGAGGCCCAATAAACATATGAATATCATTCAGGATCTATCAAGCATGTAAATGGGCCACTAAGGCCCAATAATCATGAAAATGACAAAATTAGCCTGTTTGTTGTTATTTTTGCTAGTATTAGCCAAATTATTTACTAAAATAGCATAAAAAGCCCATTTTTTGTAAAAATTACATTCTTGGCCGAATAATCCAAAATTTACAATTAAAGCCCAATTTTAGTAAAACTAACACTTTAGTCCGCATTTTGGACAAAACTTGTATTTATGGCTAGTTTTTGGTTAAAAAAATAACATTTTAAATCATATTTGTCAAAATATCATTTTTAGCTTGGTTTTTGTGAAAATATACATTTCGGTCCATTTATAAAAAAAATCATCTTTTTGGCCCAAATGTTCATAATTTCACAACTTTAACCCCTTTTTATAAAAAATTTACATTTTTGACACAACTTTCTTGGAAATGACAATTTAACCGATAAAAGACCAAAAATTATCATTTTTGAGCCCAAAACTGTGAGAAGCCCAAATAAGGCCCATTCATAAAAATATTTACATTTTCGGTCCCTATAAGGGTTCAAATGTCGAGTTTAGACATTGTTTAGCAAATATTTCCTTTTGATCCACATACCAACCGAGAGTTACAAAAACAACCTATATTTTGTCATTTTTAGCCCCTTTGATGAAGTTTTCTTAGATTCAACTATTCTTGATGTATTTTAAACCCTTTTCTTGTGAGATATGTTGAAAGGAGTGTTATATTATACCAATATCATCATCTTTTTAGTGGATCTTTTAGTTCATGAAGTTTACAACACATAAACTCATATGTAA